CACTCCCTAATGTTACCGTTACTCTTGCCAATGACCCTTGTTTATGCAAGCAGTCGTCACAAAGGATCTCAAGAATATAAAAAACGCACTTTGCTCATAATATGTCCGAAAAAGGTGTGTGTGTGTGTGGGTTTATCTTGGATTCCCGGTTGGGGTGGCTGCTGAATTTCCAATTCGAGCCAAAACATGCCACAAAAACTCATCACAAAACCATTTTGTAGCGTTTTGAAGTCGGGCCCTTCCATTTTCATTTTGTAGTGGGGTGTTGATGTTCGTAAGCAGTTGTGAAGGTGATGCCATATTCGATGCATATTTCATTCGGGTTCCTCAAACGAAGTGACAAAGAAATTTGGATAACACAGGAACTCTAAGCCAAAGCCATGCTGCAATGCTTAGATATGTGTTTGCTATCCATGTTTTTGTTGATCTTAAGTCTTGGTTTGCTATTGTGCTGCAGCCTTCTGCTTCATGCAAAAGTTCCTTGAAGAACTCACGTGTCACAAAATGTAGTTGAATGAAAAAGCGCAACACAACATTTTGTAGCGTTTCGGTCCGCCATGTAGTGAGGTGTTGAAGAGATCAAAAGTCACAAAGCATAGTTGAATGAAATAACGCAACGCATCATTTTGTAGCGTTTCGGTTGTGCCGTGCCACTTTGTAGCCAGGTGCTTGCTGCTGTTCGGTGTTGTATGGTCTTATAGGTTCCACCTTTCATTACTCACGATTTTCTTTGCAAAATATTACCGAACTCCTTCACAAAACAAAAGGTGTCAGCTGCAGGTTGGCCATCATTATGTAAAAAGGCAATGCACACATATCAATTCAAATAAAAAAGATGCGGGCTACCATAGGTAAAAACACTAGGGTCACCCCCCAAAAATATTTTTTTAGGAATTAATCTGACGTGCTTCTAGTACACAACCCACCTCAAAATATTTTTTCAAAAACACTCTAACCCACCTCAAAATAATTTCCTTTGACACCACCCACCCCCTAAAATAATTTCTGAAAGGTTGCACATAAAATATTTGGTAGGGTTCCACTATTACTCAAAAACACTTCCCTTACTTCAACATAATTTTGGAAATTATTTCGAAGTGGTTTAAGATGGTTTTGGATGATTGAAAAAACAAGTAGAACCACCTCAAAATAATTAGCAAAAAAAACACAAAATTATTTTGGGGGGTCACCCTACCTCTCCTCTCGAATGCACCCGACAAGCACTAAACCACTTGGAGGTTGTGGCACAAATCAAATAAATCATCTCTAAACCGACCCCCTTTCGCACCCAAGAATTATTTTGGGGGTGGTTCACTACTGAACCACTTATTGTTTAGACCATCGATTTTTGGACAAAGAAATCTGAATCCACCCCTTCCTACCCAATAAATTATTTTTTTTGGGGTTGGGGGTACCACCAGACCACCCCAGAAAAAATAATAGCCTAACCTGGCAAAATTAACTTCCCCTTGAATAGTTCAAAAATACTATATACATTGACAACCAAATTGAATCCAAATTGAATCAAATTGACCCAAACTGTATCCAAATTTCCTCAAAGAGACAAACCCTGAGAATTACCATGAATTACTTACTGAACTACTTATTTTTTAGAACATGTAACATCGACTTGTCATCGACTTTTGGGCAAAGAAACCATCGATTCCTCTCTCCCCAAAAAAATATTTTGGGGGTGGGGGTACTACCAGACCACCCCAGAAAACAAAATAACCTAACCTTGCAAAACTCAACTTCCCCATGAAATAATTTTCATCCTGGGTGTCTGGTAATTATTTTATACAGTTGAGACTCTATGAAATAATTTCCCCAGTTCAACTGAGAAATTATTTTGAGGTGCCTTCGGTTGTTTGCTTAAAATTATTTCAAGGTGCTTCAACCTCTGTAGGTGGAAACTTATTTTGCACCATCATCGGGTTACGGGTGCATAAATTATTTTGCTATGGTTCTTGTTCGCTGATGTTAACATAACATTTATCTTAAAAATTGGAAATTATTTCAAAAAAAAACATAACCCACTCCCACCTCAAAATAATTTCCTAAGGTAGGACGCATCAAAAACGTGCTACAAAAACTCTAGGTGAGCGCTCAGGTGGGCACGGCTTTTTGTAGAAGAAATTGCCCGGGGCTCATGTGGCTACAAAATGTCTCTACAACATTTTTAATTGTATAATTTGAAAATAGTTTAATTTAGCATCATTCAAAAGACATGCGCTAGTGGGATAATTATAAAAAATCATGACGGGTCGATATGACGATGGAGACGACGGCACGACCACAATATGCCGACGGCCTGACCACGATAGCTCGGAAGCACGACGACGATGTGCCGACGGCACAACGACGATAGACCGACGGCATGACCACGGCGACATGACGACGAGGCCACGACGGTGCGACGATGGAGCGACGACCGACACAAGCCCGGGTTTGACATGTCACATAAGCCTGGGTTCGGCGACAAACCCATTATATGACATGTTGGGGTGGACGCCGAACCCGGGTTTATGACGGTCACCGCTCCGTCGTCGCACCGTCGTGGCCTCGTCGTCAGGTCGTCGTCATGCCATCGGTCTATCGTCGTTGTGCCGTCGGCACATCGTCGTCAGGTCGTCGTCATGCTGTCGTCGTGCCGTCGTGGTGACATAGCCACTCTGTCGTCATAGGGCTCGAGCTATCGTCAAAAGCCTCCCGTCGTGGAGCTCCTTCTTCCACTAGAAAACCTGGTTTGCATGTGTTTAGAATTTATATGTATAATGTATAATGCATATGTAAGAAGACGAATTGACTATATAAAAAGCGCGCCAAGCCTCCTAAAATTAATTAATTACCCAAAATCGTAACCTTATAGAATACCCGGTTGCAAGACCTATTTTTCGTATAAACACATTTCAGGTTTTATAAGTGGCTCACAAGCTCTGCACGGGAAATTCCAGGAAATTCCAAGTGGGATTAAAAAACTGTCTTCGCGCAGCTGTTAAAATGCGTTTGGCAACCTGCAGCTGCAATCCCGCATAGCAGGCAGCATCACTACTGTTTTCCTGCGCGCAGCCGTGCCAATGCGTTTTGTCACAGCCGGTTGCATACCTGCAAAGCAGGAGCATCGCATCAAATCGACCTATGTTCCCGCAGTGCTGACAATGAGGGCGATCCCGCGCTGCATCTCTCTCTCATTTTTTAAAACGTTTTTTGGCTAAATTGAAACCAAGCTCTCACTACAGTCTCGTGCGCATTTTTCAACCTCAACTTTTCTAACAGTGCTCCGCAGCACGCGGCTGTCAACTTTTTCACAACTTGAGCTGCAAATCTAACTCTGGCTACAGTCTCGTGCACATTTTTCCGACCTCATCTTCCAACAGTCCAACAGTGCTCCACGACTGCAAATCGACTTCTCACTATAGTCTCGTGCACTTTTTGCAGGCAACTTTGCCACATCGAGGTACTTCAGCGACCCCAGGAACTACCATACCGGTCAAAACACGGAGGTTGGCGCCCTAGAGTGTTTTGACCTGTGACTTGATGATGGGGTTGACATGATGATGTGGTTGACATGGTGGTGTGTATGCTAACCATGACCATCGTCCGCAACGTGGATGCTTGCTAACTAAACTTCCTTTTGATGATAAATTCATTTTCCGAACATGTGCCAACTGTTATATAATTATATTAATTAATAATTAATTATATGAAAATTTTGGCGGGGAATCTCATTATTTTCTGGGCTTGCGCAAAACAAACAAACACACATGTATGTATGTATATATATATATATATATCTATCTCTCTCTCTCTCTCCTTCTCCTCTCCCCCAAACAGAAACCAACCACGTGAGAGAGCCAGTTGCTTGGAGACCAATCGCCGGCCACTCCGACCGTTCATCAAAGCCTGCGCTTGACGTGAGAAGCCAAGCACAATCAGCGGGTGATCGCGAATCAGTGGGGATTCAGAGGGGTTGATCAGTAATATAGATGCGGATGTGCGCTTAAAAAGCCTTAAAACATATGGAGATTTATTGGGAAACCAACAGCAATCAATATGTTTTTTTCCATGAAACTCGTGGGCATCGACTTGGAACTATCCCAATTACAACGCTGAAGAAACCAACTGACCTACCTGCCAACAGAGAATGAAGGATTCGGCCATCGGTAAATGCATCGGTAATGATGAAGAAGGAATAGGCTCAAGTAGGAAAAAATACGTTCTTCGAGTGATCTCCACCCTGAACCAATATTCTGACATAGTTTCTGACATACCATCTGGAAGTATACACGGCATATTTATTCTGACATTCTGCCTGACCATATCTGACATACTTTCTGGCAAATATTCTGATATTGTTTCTGGCATTTCATCTGGCATCTATTCTGGCATTCTGGCATTCTTTCTGGAACTTTCTGGCATATGTTCTGACATTCTTTCTCGCATTCTATCTGGTATATCTTCGGAGATTCTTTGCAGTTGATCAGAGGTCCGACGGGGAACACTGCGATCTATAGCGCTTGCAGTTGAAGTCCGGCGGGGAACACTCTCATCCAGAGGTTGCTGTTCGGGTCCGGAGGGGAACACGGAATCTAGCGCTTGCAGTTGAGGTCCAGCAGGCAACACTTTGCTCCAGGGGTTGCTGTTCGGGTGCGGCGGGGAACACGGGGAACATTGCGATCTAGCGCTTGCAGTTGAGGTCCAGCAGTTCGAACACTTTGCTCCAGAGGTTGCTGTTCGGGTGCGGCGGGGAACAATGCGATCTAGCGCTTGCAGTTGAGGTCCAGCAGGGAGCTTTGCTCCAGAGGTTGGTGTTCGGGTCCGGCGGGGAGCACTGCGATCTAGCGCTTGCAGTTGAGGTCCGGGCGGGAAAACCCTCTGATCCAGAGGTTGGTGTTCGGGTCCGGCAGGGAACACTGCGATCTAGCAGTTGGGGTCCGACGGGGAACACTCTGCCATGATCCATGGGCTTGCTGTTCGGGTCCGGCGGGGAGAGCTTGCAGTTGAGGTCCGGCGGAGGAGCCGCCGGAGAAGGACGCGGAGGAGGAGGAGGAGGAGGCGGCGGGCCAACTGACATAAAATCTAACGAACCTCACCTGACAGGTGGGGAAAAAACACGGACACTCCCGCTTGCTTTTACAAATAACATAGACTTTCTCACACTCTCTCTTCCTACATCATCATGCCGAAGGTTCAGCCGGGCCCTTTCCACTTTGGGTCAAAAACCCATTGCAACTACCAAAAACATCCAAAAACTAAAGCTAACAGTCATCTGTCGACATGGGGATCTGAATCTAATTCAAAGAACAAACATTTGCAAAAATGATGGTTTCAAAGCGCCAACAACCAATTGTCAGCACAGGCTTGAAGCCACCAACAATCTGTACTTCAAAAACAATCCGCACTTCAGAAAACAATCTGCACTTCAAAAAAACTGCACTTCAACAACAACAGCAACAGCAACAACAGCAACAACAAACAGCAACAACAGCAACAACAGCAACAACAGCAACAACAACAACAACAACAACAGCAACAACAACAACAAAATCAACAAAATCAACAAAATCAACAACAAACAACAACAACAAACAACAAACAACAAACAACAAACAACAAACAACAAACAACAAAACAAAACAAAACAAACAAACAAACAAACAAACAAACAAACAAACAACAACACCAACAACAACAACAACAACAACCAACAACAACACCAACAACACCAACAACACCAACAACACCAACACCACCACCACCACCACCACCAACAACAACAACAACAACGCCAACAACAACAACAACCACAACAACAACAACAACAACAACAATAGCAACAATAGCAACAATAGCAACAACAACACAAACAATAACAAGAACAAAAACAAGAACAACAACAACAACACCAGCAACAACAACAACACGAACAACACCAACAACATCCAACAACGCCACCACCACCAGCACAACCACCACCACCACCACCACCATCAACAACAACAACAACAGCAACAACAACAACAACAACAGCAACAACAACCAACAACAACAACAACAACCAACAACCAACAACCAACAACAACCAACAACAACCAACAACAACTCAACCAACAACCAACAAACAACAACCAACAACAACAACAACAGCAACCACAAACAACCAACAACAACCAACAACAACCAACAGCAACAACAAAAAACAACAAACAATAAACAACAACCAACAACAAACAACAACAAAAAACAACAACAAACAACAACCAACAAACAACAACAAGAACAAGAACAACAAGAACAACAAGAACAACAAGAACAACAACAACAACAACAACAACAACCACAACCACAACCACAACCACAACAACCACAACCACAACAACCACAACAACCACAACAACCACAACAACCACAACAACCACAACAACCACAACCAACAACAAAAACAAAAACACAACAAAAAAAAAAACAACAAACAACAACCAACAAACAAGAACAAGAACAAGAACAAGAACAACAACAACAACAACACCAACACCAACACCACCACCACCACCACCACCACCACAACCACAACCACCACCATAACCACCACCACCACCACCACCATCATCACCACCACCACGACCAGCAGCAACAGCAGCAACAGCAGCAGTAGCAGCAAGGCTGATTCGTTGGAAAACTAGGTAATGCTGGTATGGCCACCGATAATCTTAAGGGCACCACCAGTCCGAAAAGATCGCGACAAGAATAGGCCGCCGCTTGGCTTCTTCATTTTTTCCGAAGGCCACACACATCAGAAAACCGAAAACCATCAATGGCCCCCCATAGTGTCCAAATTGCCCAAAACATCCCCATGGTAAATCCCAAATCCAATCTACAAATCCAAGGTATCCAATCAATTGTGAAGCCATCATGACTCAGATTTCCGCCTGCAGGTTCTCATCAACGGACTTGATATCTCCCTGGAAGGCAGCACTTTGACCGTTCAGGGCGAAGCGCACCGCATCACGCGTCAAACGCTGAAGGAGCAGCAGGAGAGACGCGGACGTCTGGATCTTGGCGCCTTTCATCAGCCCAAGGTCTAGGAAAGTCACGGAAAAACATGACTCCATTCCAAATCATATGTATTTTTTTTTGCGTATGTACACACGCACACACAGACACTTGAAAGACCTTACGTCGTCGTTGGTTTTAGAACTCTTCTGAGTACTGTAATTGGGAAAATTCCCGGGAAGGCCTTATGTTGCCGTGATCGACATGGGTGGTTTTTAGCTTAGCCAAGTTGCCATGTTAAGAGAAAATGACCTAGTTCTTCGAAACATTGAAAAATGGGGATTCTTCACTTCAGAACAGGTACGTGGATTCTGCTCCAGAATCCATTTCAGTGACTTGTAACAGCCTATAGAAGTCCAGGCAGTCCCCCTGTTTCGAACATTGAATGAGAAAATCGCACAAGAAAACGCAAAAAATCAACAGCCCTTACGAACAGGGTTTGGCTCACACACCAAGGAGGTATGTCGCAGAGACCATTTTTAATCCATTTTTGACTTCAAAGGAGTCCAATGGAATGGTATACTTCGGAGGGAGAAAAATCACTCTGTACATACGAAAGTGCAAGCTGACGTAAACTAGGTTCAATTGCTGATGACGGAAATGAATATTTTCTCATCAGGTGAGCACGGCTTTTCAAGCCGCGCAGCCTGAGACGGATAGACCCAGCTGATGCAATATCTCGAATTTGTTGATTGGGACTGTCACAGTTCTTTCGGAAACTGAAACATTGAATCCCAGGAGCATGGGATCACCCGCTCTACTGGGTGTCCATAGAAATTCGGGTCAGAATAAATGACAATCGGATCTGACTTGGCAAGCAGAATCAAAAACGCAAAACGGTTATCAAACATCTAACGGAGGCAGAGTTCAATGGTTTCTGACTGAGAAGCGCCTCGAACGAATGTTGCCACGCTCGCTCCACCATGGTGACGGCAAGGTTGGAAATGGTCGGGCTAATCTGACTCCCAATACCGGCTCCTCGGATTTGACGCCATACTTCCAAGTGCAGTGAAAGAATGACTGGTGAGGCTTGCCTTCACAATGATGAAGAGGTCGTCAACTTTGATGGACCTGACATTGTATAGGCTGCTTTTCTGGAAGTGCCTGCAAACGTCAACTGTATCGGGTCTCCCGTGTTGACAAGTCTACTGAAATTGAGAGATCTCCTGGGTGACGGTCTTTCCATGCTATACGATCAATGCCTGAACTGCATCAAGAAGTCGGTCTTGCGGAACAGAGTTGCAAACACTTGCCACATCGTCATTCAAAAATTCCAACTGAACTTCTTCGGGAATCTCACGAAATGCCGAATGAATTGTGTTCCAAATTTGAGGGACGCTCTGTTGCCCCAGTTGTTGGGGCCAAACTTCTCGGAGCATGGAATCTAAACCGCATGACACAGCTTTTAACAATGTGGACTGATAGCTTTGAAAATAGCTAATCAGAGCCTGACCTTTTTGCCAATCTTTCTGCCGTTTCAAAAAAGACAAATCCATACAGCAAGGTGGCTTTATTGCGACGAAAGCCCCATGGATACGTTCTAACCAGGTAAGTAGGAAAAGTCTGTTGAATACAAACTTGCGCTTCATGAGGAGACATGGGTAGTTGTTCAGAAAGTTCCGGATCAAAACAAGGTCAAACGAAATTGCTCATGATCACCATGATGAATCACACAGTCCTTTGGGAGCCATTGTAAAAGGTGTTGAACAGCATGAAAAGAAAATCTGGGTAAGTTGTCAATGGCATTCAAGTGAAGCTTCCATTCTGCGGTGATCTTCTGCATAAACGCGGAAGCCAATTGAAGTGGCAATCCATGACGTTTCAGCCAACGAGTCACCCCTTTTGAACATATGTCAGAATATTGTGACCGGGAAAGGAAATACGTAGAGTTGGCGTTGGCGTTGGCAAAGATGTGTAGCTTTGATGGCCAGTTGACGTCGTCCAAGTTGATGGGGACATGTCCTGGTTTTTGTATGTGCTGCTTTGCAATGGATCGTAGTACTTTACAGCAGCAAGGCAGATTTTGTATGTGAGACGTTTCCCATCATCTCTCCATTTTTCGATGGTTGTGCAGAATTTAGCTCAATTTGGGGAAACCTTGTTCTCTGAGTTGATGAGTTCGTAAAAAGAGAGGAATTGCAGCATTTTTATGTTGTAAAATGTAAAATGAGTTGCCGAATCCAAGTCTCAAGATTCGTTCGAAAATTGTCATGTGCCAAAAACGGAATGTGCAATGGGAATTTGTTTTTGGGAACTGTGCACGGCGTTGCGAAATAGCAACGCTTTTCCCATCAAACTCTTGACTCTATACCGGGTTCTTCCATGTGAATCGTTAGCCTGTACAAAGCATAAACTTGCAGGGTATGAAATTCTCCAGATCGAATTCGCTTGCATGCTTCAAAGCTCGCTCTCGTGAACAGGCTAATTTGGCACAAAATTATCCAAGCTTGTTCTTGAAACGAATGAGGTGGCGGCACCGATCCGAGAGAAAACATGCGTCGTCGAACTCTGCAGTACAATCCCGGACTCAATTTAACAGGACCTAGGCGATTTTTTCGTAACTGCATCAGCCAACCTTCAGATTTGAGTTTGAGAAATTTTAAAATGAAGGGATGATTCAAAGCAGGTTGCCAAGAATTAATTAACAACTGTTCGCGGACCCAGGCATTGTCGTACGTTGTGCATGCTTGCAAAACAATACACGTGTACGATTCAAATTCTGTCCTGATGCTCCAGTAACGGATTGACAATTCTGCATGAACTGCGAGGTTGCGCCGAATTTGTTTCAATTTTGCAAGCCTGTTGGACTCACGTTTCACGGCTGAAATGGCAGTTGAACCAAAAAAAGTCCGGACTGTGTGCACCACCTCCGCTTCTGGCCAGGTGGGTGAAACTGCATCTTGCTTATACCACATATGAGGATTGAAGAAAATGGTAAGTGTACATGTGTGGGGAGACGCCTGAATTCTTTAAACAGTTGCGCCATTGACGAGTAGTCAATGTGGGAGCTGAGTTGCGTGCCAACAAAAGAACATGCAACATGCTCAAGCTCCACATGGCTGGTCATAATGCACAAAATGGATCAAAATGGACCAGAGCCGAGAGCAGAATGTCAATAACAGGAAACAACACTTTGAAATTCATGCTTTCATGATCACGAAATAGTCAAGCGGTCAAACTAGAACCAATGACAGCAATTTGGTGCAAAGTGGATGGCGTCATTTTCAACGATATGTCCATGGGAAGGCCACATTGTATGGCTGCCTGCTGAAGATCTGTTTTTGTGACACCAGAATCATTCAAAATCTGTATGATCTTCATCGCAGGTTGCTGGGTCTCCATCGGGAACGTTTGAAGCAGAAAAGCCTCCAGGCGAGGTTGCGTGAACCAATTGCACATGTTCAATAGCATCACGACCATCAGCGTTAAGTGCTCTACGTTGCTTTGGAGGAATATCCTCTCCAAAACCGATTCGGGATTTGAATTCTGGAATTGGTAACACCTAGGAATATTGTATAGTTGAAGCATCAGTGGGTGGATGTGCCCAAGTCGGATCAAATTCAAACACTCGCAACGGTCTAAGACAAGCTATATCTAATTGCGCGGGGCTCATACTGCTGGTCACATACTTGACCTGCTCAAAAGTCATAGGGTGAATTGGATCTTGTGGCTGTCGAAGCCACGCTCTGAAATCTGCTTCTTGAGTGGTGATAGTTTTAACTGGTCTTGTTGATGACGGGAATTCTGAATACGGCGTCGGAAGCGTTGAGTACGGTGACCAAACTCCTGTGAGCTCGTTGTCGTGCCATATCCCTGGGGGTCCAGACAAAGGAGGTTCAACCTGAAGATCTGGAGCTGGGTGCCCGTGTCGTCTAGGTAATGGCGATCTGCTCCATGTTGTTGCTGATCCTGATTTTGGCCTGACTGCTGAGAGGTCTGTAGGGAATTGTTGTCCTGATCGATCTGTCACCGTGGTTGTGGTTGTGGTTGTTGTGGTTGCTGTTGTTGTTGTTGTTGATGATGTTGTGGGTGGTGATGCCGATGGTGGTGATGCAGGAGGTTGGGGGGAACGGATTGGTGGGGCTGGTAGAGGTGTAACCGGGGATGGGCTAGAGGTCAGTGCGGTAGGTGTTGACGGGACGTGGGGGAACGGGTAGTGGTATGGGAGCTGATGGACGAGGTCGTGCAGGAGCTGATGGACGAGGACGATGAACCGTGTGTGCAGCTACTGGTGCTGGAACAACTTGATGATCCCTTGTTAATGTCATGGCTTTTGGTCTTGCTGATGCTTCTGGTACTGCCTGCGCCCTGCTTGGATCGAAGTCACCCGCAATGAAATAAATGTGGTATGACATGGCTTGAATTGAAAAAAAACTACTGAGTGAACAATGAAAAATAATAAAACCATAATAATTCCAATGAACAGGTGGTTCTCAGAGGCCAAAAAATGGCAATCAATACACCTAGACAATTCATGGGTGACAAATCACCCGATGCTTTCAAATGCAACATGGGACCATTCACGTCACTTCAAAGGTAGGACTAGATATTGCACCTAATCCAAAATCGGCTAAAATGTTTCAATGAAACAATGCTTCTGACACACAGAAGATGAACACACTTGCCCTGTTGCTGGAGCCTGACAGGGACAGACGTATTCACGGTAAGAGCATCAGAACCTGCGAACAGGTCAACCAACTGGAGGACATCACTAGCCTGCTAAAACCAGGATCACGACCGGACCATGACGGAAACGCGGCCGAAACACACTTGAAAGACCGTAACGTCGTCGTTGGTTTTAGAACTCTTCTGAGTATATAATGGGAAAATTCCCGGGAAGGCCTTATGTTGCCGTGATCGACATGGGTGGTTTTTTTCTTAGCCAAGTTGCCATGTTGAGAGAAAATGACCTAGTTCTTCGAAACATTGAAAAATGGGGATTCTTCACTTCAGAACAGGTACGTGGATTCTGCTCCAGAATCCATTTCAGTGACTTGTAACAGCCTCTTCGTTGGACTGCCACTGTTAGAAGTCAGGCAGTCCCCCTGTTTTGAACATTGAATGAGAAAATCGTACAAAAAACGCAAAAAAAAACGAACAGCCCTTAGGAACAGGGTTTGACTCACACCAAGATATATATATATATATTTATAGGTACGGTATGATATATACATATATGATGTATGCATGTATGCGTGTATAATTACAGAAATATGTCTGTGCATGTAAAAACTACAAGCATATCAACGTACTGTAGATCCCATTATGTGAAATCAGGGTCTAATTCCAGGGGTCATTTTTCCAAGTTGAGAAAAGACGATCCAGTCACCAGTCCCACGTCGAAACTCACAGAAGCCCCTGGTAAACTCACACCCAAATAGCTGGGATGGGTGTGAATAACATGAGTAGTATGGATTTCATAGGTTTTGATCCATAGCTGCCATAGCTGGAAGTCATTCCATCCTGGGAATGGCGAAGAAATCAACATCTCCAACCACCAACAGTCAACTTTATGTTCTTGGGACCAGCGCAACCTTCCTCATATTTCTTCTATACCACTATCTGAGGTGATGTGTGAAACTGACTGAAACCCATCAGGTTTGAGGGACACCTCATTAAATATCGGTTGATGCTTTGCAATAATCCTTTCTTTACAACAATCATGAGCTGTACACTAATAAGTAAATTGACTATGGCTATATCACGGATTTCCCTATATATAATATTTCTGTTCGTAGCTCCTTGGGCCCTTCCACCATCCATCCCCGCCGCTCCGCCTTCCAGCGCAGGGTACGCTTCCCAAGCCCCGTCCAGCAGCAACTGGCGATGATGGAACTCACTAGCACTTATAAACGGTGCAGAAATATACCTCTTAATAAGCCTAAATATACCTAAATTATCCAAAATTGAAAAAGATAAGGTGGCCTAACATAACCTCCAATGATGGTTCAAAATCATGTACGTAACCTACTGTTGGCCATGGGCACTTATATAATGAGCTGGGGATCGTAACTTGCTATACTTCATGAGTTATAAGCTAGTTACCAACCAGTAAACTAGTCCCATGACCCATCGCCCATTGGGAGAAGTGCAAGTTGCTTCTGTCAAGCCTTGAGGTGCCATTCCCCCCTGAAAGAGCAAGGCATGTTGAAACAACCAGCCATTTCAATGGGAGGTTCCATAGTCATGGGGATACCCCAATAGCTGGATGGTTTATAATGGGAAAATCCCATCTATCAATGGATGAGAAATGGGGTTCCCACACTTTAGGAAATACCCATATATAACACGGTATGTGTTACATACACAAAGGCAGAACTGCATTCACACTGCGTGCGCGCGTATCTCTCATCCTCTCTCCGTCCTAAAGTACATGTATGCAAAAATTATGCTTTATACATGTGTGACCATATGCAGCATACATTTTTTTTGTCTGCCCATCTCTCTGTGTATGGTTTGCCAAAAACCGCCGTATATGATCTACCCACCAAGATGCTGTTTCGCCGAGGGGCAGGATTCAGACTTGCAGCCGCCTCTGCCTTAAAGGCGGGCAGCTCCAAACCAGAGATACACGGGGAGGAACTGGCCAAAAACAGGTAAAGTATTGTAAACATATGGTAAAAATCACGAATGTTTACCTGTAATGTTTGGAGCAATCCTGCTCCTGGTCTGCAACACACTCGTGTCTTGGACGTCAGCGGGCCACAAGCTACCTAAATCGACTTGGACCTGTAACAATATTATATATATATATATCTATTATTATATATATATATTATATTCAGTTGGGATCCTCATCCCAACTAGGGTTGAAAAAAATAAAAAAATGAAACCTCCATCTATACAATTACTAAGGATATGTACATTTCATGCATCTAAAAATTCTATCCATAATTCCTCCTTGGTTACCATTGATCTCCCTGAAGGCCACTAGAGTCACTAGAAATAGAACTCCCTCCTCTGCAAATTTCTACCACCAAAATAGAACAGCTGAGTCAGAATGAAAACGGGAAACATCAAGAAACATAATTCTGTAATATTCTGTACATATCTGTGCTCTTTTATGTGCCAAAAGCATCCAAAAGCCTTCCCATTCCCAGCATTGCCATTCAGGTTGCAAGTTGTTCAGTCAAGAGCCGCACTGCTGCCATATCCTGTTGACGGGGGGCAAATCGCCAACACACACACACACACATCCCTGAAGAATCCCCCGGTGCAAATGCAGAAAAGGCCAGAAATCCAGTAATGATACTCTTCAACATTGCTGATATATCTATTCCAAGCCTATACCGATATTGGCTGGCTATATTGGATATTTAGGTGTGCCTAAAGCTGCTGGCAAGAAACCATGATACAATCCATCTGCATTCAGTATGCGAGGTAAACAAGTATAGTAAATTCGTGTTCAACCAACAACTGGTGGGAACAAACTAGCATGCAATGTAGATAATACCAAACAACAACCATTGGACGCAGCACAATTTGATTGGCTGTTGACCCCTCCGCCTCTGACGCACGAAAACACCAACTGAAAACAACCACCAAAATAGTTGCATTTATGTGGTGATATTTTTTGATACCACACACCAATGAACGCCTCGGGGCACCCCGGGCATTGTGCTGGATTATCATTGCTACCGGCACCCGATACGGTGGCTAAAATTCAACTCCAAAGGGATGTCAAACCCAGAGTGACAAGACTAACTCTTCACAAACAGGTCCAAACACGTGAAAAATCCATACTAATCCAGAAATATGCGATGAACGGTAGAATTGGATCCGGATATAAATCAATGTTGCAGAAGATACACGGTGAATTACAACTTGTGTGAACTTGTAGAATGCTTCACCTAAGGGACTTCGAACGAATGCGACAGAGTCGGTACCATTTCAGAAGCGGTCTCGGTTGGGTTTCTAGCAACTTTCATCCATCCTCAACTACTTTGCTTAGTGCCCTCGGAGTGACATTGCCTCAAATCCCGAACTATACCTAACAGTATAGCAAGCAATTACAGCTGTTGTTTGATCCAGACAAACCAAGCACGATTTGGCTCCTGCTCTTCCTGGATCAGGAGTGGCTTCAACCTGGGTGATCAAACCATGCTGGATTTCCAACTTGGCATGAACGCACGCAAAAAAACATGCTGCATTCCTGACGAGCGATCTGAACATGCCCGGAAACCTGGTAATCCTGGTATTCATATTAATGCACCTGAATTCAAAAGCCTCCATACCTGCTGGTTCAAGGGCTTCCCATGTTCTAACCCAACTCAGCTCATTGGGGTTGCTAGTGCCTTGCTGACATAATTAATTTGATTTGTGTCTATCAAAATATCCACATCTCGTCCCACAAAAGAATCGGACGAATACCACCGCGTCATCTTGGCACAAAAGGGTTCCCACTAGGGGCTAGTTGGAAGGGATTCATCATATTCAATCATGCGGCGACATGTTTCCGTCATATTAAAAAATCTGCATAATGTATACAATTTATATCAAGAATTGAGATGATTTGAGATGCATTGAAACATTTTAAGATGGTTTGAGATGTATTGAGATGCATTATATGAAAATGAGTTGAGATGTATTACATTAAGTAGCGCACCAATGACAAGATATTCAACTGTACCACAAGGATGGGAACTTTTTCCCCCTCTATCCCTCGTTGTGCTTTGACAGAGCCACTGGTCCCAAATGTCATTGGCGGCAATGAAGCCATCTGTAATGGGCTGTGTGGGAGGTGGATATATTTTATCCTCCAGGCTGCCGTACCTTAGGTGCACAAGTGCGTCAATGATTGGCTGACCCTTGCAAAACATGGGGGGCATCGAAATTGATCAAGACACAATGGCGGCTTAAGCAAAAAACGCACATGGCATTGTTTTTTTTAAGAATCATCTATCTATCTATCTATCTATTTATATATATATATGTATTTATACATATATATATATATATATTCAATTATTTATTTATGTATATATGTGTGTGTGTGTGCGTGTATATATATATATATGAATATGTATGACCATGTATATGTCTCATATCATGTATATATATATACAGTTATATACACATATCATATCCCTGCAAGTCCGAAGGTCAAGTTTAACGATGTCTTTGGCTAAAGATCAAGTTTTACGAGGACCTTTGGTTTACCTTGGTTTGATAGAGCTCAGCCCTTTTTTCCCTCGCGTTCATCGTCGCCAAGTTATTTTCCACATTTGTCCTCCATTGCGCCCACATTTTATTGGTATCAGAGCCACAAATGACGACCGAAGACTGTATCCGTTCACTGCTGAATTTGATTTGAACCCCAATTGATTGAAACTGTTGACGCATGATTGGAAGCACCATTTTTTCATCACCTTCAGATCACAGCCCCTAAGGGGCCTTTCCAATTTGCAATGAAAAGCCACTAAGACTGACATTCCGGAGCTTTTGCAAAGCAAATTCGTGGCGGCTCCCGTCAAGATATGGTATGATTTTGCATAAATTACCAATGTTAACTCAAAAAAATGGTTCCTAAGGTTTCACGCTCGGTTCACGGTAATAGTTGGCCTTTTGCAAGTAATAGTACGTCTTTTGCCAATAATGGTAGGTCTTTAGAGGGTCGCCTGACAGTTCATATACCATGCATTTGTGGTGATTCCGGCCCTGGATTCCCAATGATAAAAGAGTGCGGGGTACCCAATAATAAACCACAAATTGGATATTTGGTAGGTAAAGGGAAGTTATTATCCTGAAATTTATCGAAGGAAGTTTAGAAGTCATACTTCCGACAATATGGACAGATGAAAAGCAGAGTAGGGCAGAGGCATAGAGAAGAGAAAGATTAGAAGAGAGAAGAGTAGATGCGCGAAAAGGTAGGAAAGTCGCGATCCACAGTGTTTTTCCAATGATTTGTGGCACCGGAGTAGGCTCGCTAAAGCGGCGGGTGCGGAGCCAGCTGGCCAGGTGAGAGATGAAAAATTGCACGCCGTTGTGGCGCGAAGCACATTTCCAAGTCAAATTGTACAAAACACACCATTCTCGGACCACTTTTGGACGTTGCGATGTTGAAAAAGTGCACGTTGTGGCGCGAAGCACATTTTCAAGTCAAAATGTACAAAACACACCATGGTCGGACCACTTTTGGAAGTTGAGGTGTCGAAAAAGTGCACGCCGTTGTGGCGCGAAGCACATTTTCAAGTCAAAATGTACAAAACACACCATTCTCGGACCACTTTTGGACGTTGCGATGTTGAAAAAGTGCACGTTGTGGCGCGAAGCACATTTTCAAGTCAAAATGTACAAAACACACCATGGTCGGACCACTTTTGGAAGTTGAGGTGTCGAAAAAGTGCACGCCGTTGTGGCGCGAAGCACATTTTCAAGTCAAAATGTACAAAACACACCATGGTCGGACCACTTTTGGAAGTTGAGATGTCGAAAAAGTGCACGCCGT